CCTTCGGCTATCGGTTGGTCCTGCGTATTTAGGAATCTCTGGTTCTTTTTCGAGGAAATGGGTGTTGGATTCTGCTACTGAATGATGAGACCGAAGATGGTTATCTGGAGTAATAGGACTGGGTTGCGGCATGTCTAATCTGGTGTCCAAAGGATGGATGAGGGAACTTCCAGAAGAAGCTACGGATGGTTCTCGATGCTGGGTAAAGGCAGTGTTACCGACATTGATGAGAGGGGTGTATTCAGACATTCTCTTCTAATCTGTTATAAGGGTTCTTAATAATCTAAAGGTAAGATTTGAGAACGGTTCAGGTATTAAGTAAGACTAGCAAAGGGAGTAGTATCTTTTTAAAAGACTAAATTTATCTGAGGAAATCTGCCACTGTTGGGACACCACTTGTGGAACTGCTCAGCAAGTGAGTAAAGAGCTTGGAGGGGATAAAATAGCTAATAAGACTATGAAATAGTAGAATTATTATTGGTGTGTGGGTGAGACTGCCCTCCTGTCTAGCTTGCGGGAAAGTTACACTAAGAAAAATAAGAGCGTGGCTTATTTCTAAATTTATCTTAGTGTTGATACTACTGTTGTTGTTGCTTAAGAATACCTGTTGAGGAGGTAAGGAGTTTTATGGGGTTTTCTGAGTATTAAGGGTTTCTGAAGGGATTTCTCTGTTATATCTGTTATAAATTCTCTCTGATTCTCTGATCTTATAAGACTCTCTGGTTTCTCTGGGCTCTGATAAAGGTACGCTGATTTCTCTAAATCTTTCAAAGAGGTGAGAATGGCTAAGCAATATTTCTGAATTACTTTTCTATGGCCAAAATTGAGGTAAGGGAAGTTCAGGGGCTCTAATAATCTCTGGATCTCTTAATCAAGGGTGATGAAAGCTGAGTAATATCTCTGATTACTGTTCTGTAGCTAGCATCAGGTTTTGATGAGTGCTAAGTAATATCTCTAATTACTTCTCTGGTGCAAACATGAGGAGGGAAGAGGAAGACATGGGCCAGAAGAGCCTCTATTTATAGACAAATGGTTCTGCACTACATGGGATTTTGGCCTGAACACAAGTGCGTCTGAGAAGGGTACTTCTAGAGTGGTTTTTACTACTCTGAGATGGCCTAATCTGATATGAATTAATCTCTAAGTGCCTTTCTAATACAAGAGGTTGTAAATCTACTATATGAGGCCTATTCTTAGATTAATTAATATGAGAATGGTATTCTTAGACTAATTAGTATAAGAGTTATTTTCTGGAACTAGTCTGTGAAGCACTTTCTAATCAGTAGCTTGATTTACTTGTCTAAGATGAATGTATTATAGTTCTACAGGTTATTTGTATAATTTTTATTCATGAGAAATTGAATATCTTAAGCCTAATTTGTGAATTAATTAACTACAATTTAGCCCAGTAATATTTATGTGGTTTGTTTCCTAACCTACCCCCTTCCCTCTAGTATTTTAACTACTATGTATACGTAATAAGTGTTTTTAATTATGGGCTATGGGTTTGATCAATCTCACCACACCGGTCGACGAGGTACATGTACCTCGCCGGCTGGAAGAAACCCCTTCCAGTCGACGAGGTACATGTACCTCGTCAACTGGAAGGAAACCCTTCCAGCCGGTCCCTTGCCGGCCGTTTAAAGGGTGGGTATCCGAGGATACCCGCTCGGATACCCGCTGCGGCCGACGGATACCCGCCAGCGGGTGCGGGTGCGGATGCGGATGCCTGGATGGCCGGAAAAAGCAGCCGGATATCCGCATCCGCGCGGATATCCGGATGCAAATCGTCCATCTCTAGGCTGATGTCAAGAGGACCGCCCATAGCTGGTCCTCAGGGCGTCCTCAAAATTTGGGAGTTGGAACTCCAAATTTTGGGAGTCATTTAACTAATGCCCGAAAAAATAAAGATCATTCTCCCAAAAATTTGGAACACCCCAAGGGGGGGGGGGGCAAGTACTTGTTGCCTTCCAACAAGTACTTGCCTACAGGTGCGGGTGCAAGTGCAGGTGTCTGAGATCTGATAATTTTCACACAAGTACTTGTACTTGTTGCAGGTGCGCAGGTGCGCACCTTTACTTTAGATGGCACTTGATGTGCTTAGTTGTCCAGGTGTGTTTTTTATCTAAATTATTAATATTATGTTGGTTGATTTTTTACCAACTTTCCCGCACATTCTGAAGCAACCAATGTTGATGTGTAGCAATCCTTTAGCTTTGGTAGGGAATATGATTGTCTCAGGAGGCACAAGCTCAGTGCACAGTCTGTCACTAGGGGGATGAGTGTGGCATTTTCCTCAAAAAACGGTAAGATCAAGAGGAGCCTTTTGAGAAAATGGAAGACAAATAAGAAGAATGAGAAGAAATCTGGAAGAAAATGAAGGGCTTATTATTACTATTTACAATCACTTAGTTCACTTGTTCACAAATACAAATTTCTGAAATAAAAACACAAGAAATTTATCACCTTTATCTCTCAAAATAAGCTTGCATACTTGCAAGTACTTGCTTTGTCCTGCCCCGGCAAGTACAAGTACAAGTATGGGTGTCTGAGATTTGAGATTTTTCACGCAAGTACCTGTGCTTGATGAAATTTCTACCGGAGAGGCGGAGAATTTTCTGAGAAGAGAAAAAAATTTTGGGGCAACAAAAAGAATGATTTTGGTTGGAGTGGCTTGAGGGTTGGAAAATGAGAGAAAGAGCCAATGATTTTTATTTGCTTAGTATAGCCTACGCATTAAATAGACTACGTACAGTGGGTGGACTGTTATTTTTGGCTGCTTGTTTTGGATTCTACAGCTTTAAAGCACAAACTTCAAGTCACAAGACTTGGTGAATTGATGCCAAATAGGTCCCAGAAAATGAATATGAAGAAATAAAAACAAAAAACAAAGTTTCAAAATTTGTGGAAAATAAAAAATAAAAATCGGGTTTTCCAAAAGATTTGTTATTGATTTTGGGGGAGTGGGAGTGCTGAGAGAAAGAAAGAGTGGAACATGGCAAGAATGATTATAAATGAAAAAAATTGGAACCAAAAAAGGTTGAGCCAGGTTGGTTGTTCAGATTGGAGTCAAAACAGTAAATTCTAGTGCTTTTCCACAACACGTGCTGGTGAATGTGCTACTCAACAGTTGTTTGAAACCACCTGGTGACCATTTTTTACAAAATTTTCATTTATGATCATTCTTCCCATGTTCCATTCTTTCTTTCTTCCAGTGCTCCCCACTCCCCCCAAAATGAATATCAGAGCTTTTGGAAAAAAATATTTTTATTTTTTATTTTTCACAGATTTTGAAACTTTATTTTTTATTTTTATTTTTTCATATTCATTTTTTGGGACCTATTCTGCACCAATTCACCAATTCTTGTGACTTCAAGTTTGTGCTTTGAAGCTCTGGAATCCGAAACAAGTAGCCAAAAAAAACGGTCCACCCACTGTACAGCCCCTTGACAGAAAAAATGGAACCCTTTAATTGGAGTCTAGAGGCCAAACCAATGGACTTGAATTTATGCTTCTTGTTGAAACTGTGGAGAATGAGTTCCAAAGAATGATTCTGAAAAATTGGAATGGAAAATCTTTTGTAAAAATTTTGTATGTTTTTCCCCATTTTATGATTTTTTGGGTATTTTTCAATCATTTTTCAAAGGAGCTCAGAAAATTATGATCAATGCAATTGCATGTGAAATGGGGAAAAACATACAAACTTTTTACAAAATATTTTCTGTTTCAGTTTGTCAGAATCATTCTTTAGAACTCATTATCCACAGTTTCACCAGGAAGCATAAATTGAAGTCCATTGGTTTGGCCTCTAGACTCCAATTAAAGGGTTCCATTTTTTCTGTCAAGGGGCTGTACATCAAGTTCAATCTGTGGTTCTGAGGAAAAAATGAATATCATAATGAATAACAAAAATCAACAAACTCTTGAATAGATGACTGGAGTAAATGACTATTGATAAAGACTAGACCAGGGTTCAAAGACTACAAGGATTGCAGCACTAGACCACAGGACAAGAAACCAGGCAGAAACTAACAACAATTGTATAATAATTTGCATTCTATTATTTAATCATTATCACTTATAAGAATAAACAAAAAGGATTTTTAGGGATGAGGAGAGAGAGAGAAAATTCCAACAGTACTTGTTGCAAGTATGCTAGTATGAGGGGCCATCTCTACACAGCACTGATGAGGCAAGAAAAGTGTCAAAACTGTTGTGACATAGGTCAAGGGCTCAACTTTGACACATGTCACAGACTTGTAGATAGTTTAAGTGGAAGAGTTTCCTTCTCTAAAATGAAAATCATCATCTCTTTTGAGCTCACACTCTAACAAAAACAAGCAAACTAAATGTTACAGAAGGCCCCAATTGAGGCTTCTATTTCAACCACCACATACTTTTTTTTTCTTGGGGGGGGGGGGTGCCCCAGACCTATCCCAACCACCTGACAGGCTGACCTTGGGTGATAATCTAGGGTACAAGATTTGAAAGGTCAGAACATTTAATCACCATCCTCCAAATCCCAACACTCAGATCTTGAACACCTGAATAACCAAATGTTCACTCAACAATGAATTACTCAGTATCTTACAACAAGGATCATTGTGTTCCTTTTCTCTCTTCTTTGTACTATGATTAATGTGTATATAAGCTCTGGTGTTTGCCCATGTTGGTCTCTCCTCATGCTTCTGGAAATCTATCAATCTTACTACATTCGTGCAAACTGCCCTCGCTTGAACCTGGCCGCCCAAAGCCAGGCTTGGTTAAGCAAATGGTTTGCCACCCGGCCCACTGACCGCAGGAGCAGCACCTATCCATCCATAACCTGAAAAACACTTTGTTTTTGATAGACTGGTTTCCTGGGCATTCAAGCAGTCTGTGCCGAAGGACCCGATCACCAATCAAGCAAAATATGACAGCAGACATCTGACAAATGATAGACTTCACAAGACCAGATGCACTTAGTGAGGCAACCCAACCCAGCCACGTTCATGTGACTTCAAGAACGATACTTGGAGCGCCAACCCAACCGACTAGCAGAGGAATGAAACCTGGAAAGAGGCAGCCCAATGGATCAAGTCAATCAAGTCGGTCAACGATGACCCCTGAAGTCATGCGGAAGGCTCGGTGAGAGCTGGCACGTTGCTAAGGCATGCGCAGCGCATGAAAAGTTTGAGAGATGAGTTGAAATTGTAGGCATGATTCTTTAGGACTCATAAGGACTATTCATTAAACAACAGGGGGGGAGCATGTGACGGTTGTTGGTAGTGAGGTAATCCTTCGTAGCGACCGGATCGTTCCAGTCGATGTTCCGACAGTCGGTGAGAGGTGTGGAAGTCGAATGACGAAGCGGGAGTCCTGTTATGCTGTTGCGGTTCTTGGCAGGCGCTCGGGCACTGGCGGGTTGATCATTCTGAAGAAAAGCAAATTGCCGTTGTTAGCTATGTCACGAAGGCGGACAAACAGATAGGGATAGATCGGTGTGAAACATGAAACATGAATCGTTGGGAAATACTTACTAGATCGAGCGCGCATTTTTCTTCTTTTGCGTTTCAAGCGACGAACACGTTTCTTTTTCCACTTGTCTCTCCTGATGGTGGTAGGGGATGAGCGGCCAGGGAGAGAAGGAGTTAGTCAACTGGGCTGTGTGAATGATAGATACCGGAATGTACTGACATGATGGCAACCGGGTGCGTGAGGTGGAAGCGCTGAGGGAAAAGGGGAAAGGGCCTGCAGGTTCAGATCGAGCTGAAGAAGTGCTCAGCGGGGTTAGGTTTGGGAGACCTAATTGTCGGTGTACCCACGGAGATTCGCCAGTTTGTCCGGCTGTGCTGTGGGCTTCCGCAGCGAGAGCGCCGCTGCAGGGGGATGTCACAAGGCTATGTATGTACAGCCACATAATGTGGTCTGTCACAGGCACATGGGCGTCACCCCCCATCCGAGCTCGGGGCTCCCGTCTATCGCGGGGGGCCATGCAAACCAAACCCCTTTGGAATTGCAAGTCAGCGACTGTCAGCGATAAGGCTCGGCAATCTGGCTTGTAAGTTGATGGTACCAGCCCAAGACAGTTAATCATGGTGATCTCTAACCATAGTTGAACAGAGATTGCGAGATGTGATGCGGTCTAAGCAGGCTACAATTGACAAATCAACGCGGTAACTGATAATCACGAAAATCAAAAATGTAAATGCCGCAAAAGAGGAAAGGAGTTCATGGTCTGCTGGAGCTTCCAAGTGAAGCATCACTAGCTTCAAACTTTTCGAGAAAACCCTTGTTGCTCAACTCACGGTACATGTTCATAAGCTATCAGCTTATCGGGCTTAATTTCTATGTCACCGGTCAGCTGTTACTCCTTCGTGTTTCATTGAGCCGGATGGCCAGCGCCCCCTAGCGAAACTGGGAGTCTGATACCCTTTTTCCACGGTCCCATCGGGCCATGAA